TCCATGCTCAATTTCTACCTAACAATCCATCACTTATTAGAATCTCCAATAAGAGATATACAATTCAAGGACAGGGACTATAACACAGAAGCAAAGACAATGGATTTCTGTATCTTTAAATGTGCATTCAACTATAGGAAGAAAAGGAAATTAATAATCAGCATTTTTTGCTGTTCTTTTGAGATGCCTATCTACTCACACAGAGGAACCTGACTTTTTCTATGTCTATCTTTGAATAAAACACATGACCTTTTTTCTTCTCATTCCCAGAAAGGGGTGAAGAAGCCACTAGTAGCCACAATACCCTTCAAGCTCTCTTAGACCAATAACTAATGATGAATGTATTATGTGGTATAGATACTGTGGAGTGTATCAGCACAAAACATTTCTCATACCCATTAACTGTTCTGAGAACAAGTAAACACACACTTTATCTCCTCATTCAAGTGACCTGACATATTTTGCCCAATACAGTCAGCTCCTAGGGAGCTGCCATTCTAATCTGAGCACAGAATTTTGCCTTCCCAGATTTCACAGCTATATAGGCAAATCTGAAGTATACACATAAAATAAAACTGAAAATTATATGCAGAAAACCACAGTGACAGCCTGGTAAATTAAGTGCTTTCAAAAGACCCCTAGGTGCCCACATTCTAGCCAACAGAACATATAAACTCTCAGCACAAGTACTGTTGTCTAAAATGAAGCAATTCCTCATCTAAAATGTTAGAAGCTTGCCTGGTTTATACTGTCTGACCTTTTCTTCTGCCTGCTTAAGAAATTAAGAGTCCTGACAAGTGTCTGAATTGCTTCTTGTTATCAGCATAAAAGGACACGATTCTGCAAATATCTGAGGACAGAATTCCTTCCTCATCTTGGTGTTGGCATGTCAGAAGGAAAAATATCCATAGATGAATAGCAGAATTTGAATTAAAGTCTAAGATAAACTAGGGGATAAGTAACGCATGTGATCTCAAAAGACATCTTTTGGGATATTATGTACTGTGACTCAGTCATTCAGGTTTGTCATTCTAAAAGTCTGCTGGGTGATGTTGCAAATGAAAATGCCTAAGGCATACAAGATACTACCAGAGTCTGCAGTGCTTCAATGAGGGGATGAAACCACAAATACTGCTGTTGCACAGTCTAATGCTGAGGACAAAACCAATTTAATGGTTTTGTGTGAACTGACATTGCAATTAATGTGTGAGATGAAAACTCTGGTCTTGCTTCTGAAAGTCTATCAAAACCAGCACACGCATTCCTAAATATTCTCCTAAAACAGTGTTGGAAATATTGTCTATGAGACACAACACTTTGGTATCAATGGAGTTATTGAACAAAAACTCAGTTAATCTTTCTGGTATCCTCTGTTCTGCTAGTAAAAACAGCAGAGGTGTTTTATGCTGAGAATTTTCTTCTAATTTTTAGCAACAAATTAGTCAATCGGGTAGAGAGGCACCATCCATTTTTCATTTACATAAAAAGTATTCAACATTTGGGAAAATAAAAGTTCTTCAACTTAGTAAACTAAGAAGCTCTAAAAAAGCAAGAAAAAGAAAACTAGAGAGTTCTCTGTTTGCAATGACACAGTCACTGAATCCCAGGATCTTTATGAAAAACTTTCAGTTGAAATTAAAAAATGTTATTTTAAATTTAATGAATTAATGCTAACGAACGCTATTTAATGAATGCTAGTTACCTAACAGTACAACATCTCCCAAAAAACAATCAAAACACAAACCTACAGCTTTTAGAAAAGAGCTTCCATGCTTTCTCAATTCTTTATCATCTGAAAAAAAGAACTGCCAATAAGGAACAAGATAATTGCCTATACTTCTGTTAAAAACATGGGTTTCCTGTAGTTTTTATGCATCTTGCCAGGCTTTCCCTATTTAATTTGCTTTTTAAAGTTCAAAGAGAAAAAAAATTAATGAAGAATATAATTATTTAAAATTAAACATTTATTTCTTATTTATACCCTTCATAAAAAGCATCTTACTAGACACTATCTTCTCCATTTTTCCTTTTAATGAGCTTTTATCAAAAAAGATGCTCTAAGTTTTACTGGTAGAAAAAGAAGTATGATCTAAGGGAATCATAACTACATGATAACTTAGAAGGAATATATTAATGACTGTCCATTTTCTTCTATGAATTCTAACATATTTTAGTTATTAACTGAGGTTATTTGTGCAAAAGCCTGCAATCTGGAGCCCTTGTTGATTCCATCAAAAAGAAGTTATAAAATTTAATTGTATGGCTGGGTAAATCTGAATAAAACCAAAAGGATTTCTGGTAACTGTATGATCTTTGACAAAACATCATTTTGCAGACTATGGGGCTCTAAAAACATTGCGAAGTCAGAAGGACAATAACAATTAAAATAGTGAAGCACTGGCTCAATGCCATGATTAATTACTATATACTTTTAGATATAAGAACATTTTCTAAAACATCTTTTCAGTACTATTAATTTTTAAAGTAACCAGAATTTTATAGGAAACAGTATTAGCAACAACAATAAATGGCATTAATGCCATTTTAGTCCCTTACTTTTTGATACAATCAGCAGGATAGCAATTACTGAATGGTATTAACAGAATTTCTTTAAATATTTGATTCCATCTGGACATTGAACCTGTCCACAGGAGTGGAATGTGATTATAGGTTTTCCACACTGCAATTTACAGTTACATTCAGATGCAATGTTCAGCTGTCAAGCTGCTGCTAAGGAGAACGGCAAATATTCTAAGAAAGAATTGATGTGTTAATTGTATTAATTAGGAAATTAATTATGTCTTCAACCATTTATTGAATGCAGCTTGTAATAGAATAATTCTATGATTTGAAGAACTCATTTTTAACCTCTGCAAGACAAAAAAACTAATTCCCCAAAACATTCAAACATTAAACTTTTGATCTGAAACTCAGAAATATGAAATTGAAATGAAGTTACTGTCTCTAGAGATACAATGCATGGTTAAACAAAGGAAATACCAATTATTACATATCTTTATTTGATTTTTGACACAAATGTCTGTTTTGGTGTGTCAATTATTGTTTTACTCATGTTATTGCTAAAGATCAGGAGTTCAAAAAATGTTAGACTGATACACATAAAATGTGAGCTTTCTGGTGGCAGTACATCTTTAAAAAGTATTATGATCAAAAAAACCTCATAATCTAGAAAAAATATATGAAACTAAACATGACAGACTTACTTTGGAAGAGGAATGTCAAAACCCTGTGCTAGAACACAGGATACTTCAAATGACATCCTGCAACAAGGAAGACATTCTGCCTGTGGCTCTCTAGATCAAAAGGAAACATCATTCTACCTGAAATCTAGCCCTACAGGTAGTTTATTTGAAACCTTGTTCTTTATTCCTTCCTTAATGTATGGTGTAAATTAACAAACTGTTTAAAGAATGCATGCAAAGTGCACTAGTAGGAAAAGCTACGATACCACATGAGAGAAAAGAGAATTATCAGTAACCACTATTCAAGAGAAATTCCAAATATTAAGGAATTGTGAACAAAGAGCTGTCTTTAAGATCTTATTAATAATTCAGACATAAAAATTAATTAGTGCTTAACAGGTACCATCAGCTGAAAGTATCACAAAAAGAAAGTATCTTTTCATATTGTTGAATCACAGCAGAATAGCAAACCATATAGCTTTGAAAAGGCAAAACTGATTATAAGATACATTAGTAACCTACTTCTAGCAGAGCTAAAATATACAGCCCAGGTTAAAAGAGACCTCAAAAGACCATCTGGTCCAAGCTTTCATGGGAAAGGGAGCCTAGATTACAAATAAAATATGAATGAATGCTGATGCACAAATAAACTCACATTCCATCTAAAATCGTAGCCATGTGCTTTCAAGAAAGGTCAATTCATATTGATTCAAGTTGAGAAAAATCTTTTAAATTATCAAGTGAATAAATAATGATTTCAATAGCAAAAGAATAAAAGCTTGGTTTATATTGTGCAAAACACATGGACAAAATTTTTACAGGTACTGTTCTTAATTGATAAAACTACTAGTACAGCAGGAAGGAGCTCTATTAAGCAGCAAAATGCTGAACTGGACTCGATAATCCCAGATGCTCTTCTAGTGTTGGTAACCATGCTCTTGACGCCACATCCCTGAAAATTAAGCCTCAGATGCCGCTCCTCAGATTTTTCCTCTTCTGTCAATCACAGTGATGCCAGAGTAATGAGTCCTTATTGATACACCCTAACCATCTTCTACCATCCTTGCATACTATTGCCTATCTAAAACTATGACAGCTGACTATACTGCAAAGTCCATATTTTCATCACTCTATTCATTTGTTCGAAAACTGTGATATAACTAAACACACTGCAACACACTATTAACTAAATTAAACCTCTATTCATTATTTATGGTTTTGAGGATTTAGTTGACTAGTATTTCAAACAGACTTTCCTCAGAATTAAGGTTCTAAGACCATCCTATTCTCATTTAGGTTAACTGTAGAATGTTAAAGTCAGTACTACTGAAATCAGTTTTGGATAGAATTCTCCCTTTTTATTTGTTTCTCAGATATTTTATCGTCTTACAAACATATAAAGCCTTTTTTATTTTTCTCAACCTTTCATCACTTGAAAGTGATATTCTGACACCAATATCTACACTAAATCAATCATAACACTACTGATTTTACCAAAAAAGTAAAAGTTGAACCATAGCCATAAACATCAGTAACATTGATTTTTGGAAATATTTTCATATAAAAGTTCAAACAGAAATCTGCAGCTATCAGAGAGTTTGCTAATTTTCAGTAACTGATACTCACTGGTTATGAGAATTAGACCCAAAATCTAGATTATCCATCTTTTTCTGATAGTATCATTCTGAACAATGTATTAATGCAATGGTTTTTAATTTACCATGCAAGTAATGAAGACACAAATATGCTAGGATAAGAAACTAATAAAAAGCAAATTAGTAAGGAAAATCTGCATACCAGAGCTGCCATGGCCCAACCAGTTTTGTTGTAGATGAACTCCAAATTATTTCTTCGTAGATACAACAAGCCACCAACAAGAGATACCAGAAGAGCCAGTGCAATTGTACCAGAATAGTTAGGAGGCCTGAATACTCTAATCTGGAAAAGATAAATGCAAATACAGATTGTAATAAATGCACACATACAGATCATCTTCCATATAGATAAATATGGAGCATCTGAAATCTGGATTCAAAGTCAGCAAGACTAATCCCTAAATATATTTAAATAAGAAAAAATAGTACTTCCTTTAATAAGCACATAATATGAAAAAAACTTCACGTATAATTTTGAACTTTTCAACTCCAAAACATTATTTCTTCAACAGATTTGCAGGTTCTATCTGAATTAGAAGAAGCTACATTCAAATCTATTTGTTTTGTACACAGTCTTGCAAAGCACATTTTACTTCTTAACAGCTAATTATCACTGCTTGTTTTCATCCAGAATAAGACTACAGAAAATTTAACCAAGCAAGAATGGAATATAATCTGCAAACCGCAGAAGTTACCATAAATACCATGAATGTTATTTTCTTAATGTGTTCTAGAACCTTCACTTGACAAAAAAAAAAATTAAGGAAAGATGTAATTTGTCATCAGTCTGTCTCAGACTACAAAGATATATTTGGTTTCAACTTTTAAAATGTTGAAAGACTTACATGAACATCTGTTCTGTCAGCTATCCATTTAGCTAGCTGCTCGGCTGCAAATCCGATTCTCTGCAGGTCAAATGTGTCAGCTCTCTTGGGTTTACCTTTTGGAGGAAAATGCATGAAAGTCGGAGCAGAGTTCATATTCAACTACAAAACCAGGAAAAACAGCAGGAAAAAGAATTAGTAACCCTATCCTCAAAATACGACAACACAGTATCCTCAATAATGCAAGTCTAATTAGCACAAAAATATTATTTGCCTCCATACATTACATTTTTAACACATCTTCATGTATAGTCCTCCAAAAAGAATGCTCAGAATATTCCCTCCAGTAGATTCTTCAGGATGTTTAATTATTCAGAGTAATTCACCCACAAGCTTTTCTGAGTAAGAGTATCTTATGCTTCAAAGTTTTCACATGCTGTAAGACCTTTCCTGTAATTGGTAAAAGAGAGACCTGCACTCATCCAATTTATTAAAGTATATCAGGGAGATATTCAAAGGGAGTAAAGAAGCTTGACTTTTTTCCCTTGCCCAGCTCTCACGAATCCAAAGTTAACTAAACTATTCATCTAGCCTTCTACTGGCTGCAAGACCGACAAATCACGAGTGACTAGTCTTTTTTGAATCCAGAAAGGCCTAGATAACTAGCACTGACTACATAACTTTCCCTAGAAAATCTTAATTCATGTGTTGATGTCACTGGAACCATTCAGAGGATATATGAAAATTCCCGAAGGTGATAAACAAACAGATTTCCATCTACATTTGCCACTTGAAATTCTGACTTCAACTCTGCTAGGTGGTAGAGGAGAATACAGTTTTACTACATAAAATTCCTCCATGTTCAGGACACCTCAAAAATAGTGCAAAAAAGCACTTTAGAAAATGAAAATGTAAATAAACAAAATCAGAGGAAATACTTAAAGATTATGCAATATGGAGGTCTTTAAAAAAAAAAGGCAGAGTAAGCCTGTTTGTTTCATTCCAGAATAAATGAAATTAATTTTACATTACCCAAACTTAATCTTTAATCAAGTACAGAACTGAATTTTTCAACAGAAATTACTAACTATTAAAATGTTTTTAATCTAAGAAAAAAAATATCCCTCTTGTTTATTGAACTGTTTTGGAAATAAAAAATATTCCAAGAAAGTCTAAGACAAATGTTGTGAAATAGTTAAATGAAATATAAGGTACAGAAACATGTTGAGATGCAGAAACCTTCTGACATTGGATAGACTTTGGGGGCAGTTGGCCTGGAACTACTTTACCATTTCTCTGTAAACACGGCAAAAGCTAAAAAATGCAAATTGTATTACCTTTGAGGTTTTTTGCTATGGCATCAATATTACATGACTTGTTTGTACACATAAATGTTTGGTCAGAATTTCCCCCAAATCCACCTTAAAACAGTCATTAGTACAATGTATTCTTAACACTGCATCTCTAAAACTGGCAGGAACCTTACATATTGATGTTTAATTTCATCTACATGTAAACATGACTTTAAATGCATACCATTCAAAATAAAACTGAATCTGTGCTCTGTTACACAAGGAATAAGTTGAATTGGACTATTCTAACGTATTGATTGGCTTAAGGCCAGATCAAACAACATATATTGTATTATTATAATCACGTAAGTTACAATAATACAAATTTTTGTAAAGCAAATCTTTAATTTGTAAAGCAAAATCTTAAGCCACTAGTAACCATTCTTTACACAATACATTCTAATATTTCAACTGGAAGTAAAAATATTTATTAAAACCAGTAATTAAACTTTTTAAGTATTTTAAAAATAAATATTAATCTTTTCCCCCAAACATTTTAAATCACATACTTCACCAAAAGGTGTTTAAAATGTACGGAGAACTTCAAAGCTTTTCACTTCTCTTAATATGCATTTTTAGCTTCAATCAATGGATTAATATCAAAGAAAATCATGTCAGTATTTAGTATTAATTTTCAAGGGATGTATTTTGCCTTGACTACTCAGTTTAAAGGGAGACAAACTATTCTCCAACAGCTGATTTTTCACTCTTTATAGCTAATATATAAAATGTAAACCATTCTCTTCTCTTTTACCTGAAGAACTTCCAGGTTAATTCAAATATTATTGAAGTTGAAGAATATTGTATCACATAAAAGCAATTAGTTAAGAGTTTTTTACCTCTAAAGAGAAAATAAAGGAAATCTTTAAATGCAAGTGTTATTTGCAATGTTCTTCATTCTAAAAAATTACACTAACAATTGTCTGGGAAAAAAAATGCACATGTATAATGCAATCTATAAACAAGGATTACAAACTATGCTTGGAAAAACTAGAAGTGGTTATTGGTAGAATTTGCCTTTGTTAATGTCATAGAAACTGCAGTGTTTTTAACCAGGAGGAAATTGTATACAAAACACAGAGGTACACACCTACATACAGAAAATAATTTGTCTTGCATTATTTGGCAAATCAACATGTAGTTCTAAAAATTAACAATGCTTTACAGTGTCCAGCATTTACCTGTTGAAAAACATCTGCCCCTTCATCATAATCCACTATAGTGAAAAACAGTTTGTTTGAAAAAGCAGATGAATAGCGCCATGAATTAGCCAGTACTTGATATTCTTCATTAGCTTGCCTGTTAAGGAAAAGAAACAAATGTACATCCACATGGCATTCACTGGCAAAAATTATGCTATAACCAGCTGCAACAGCTAAATAAATTACATTTTCAGTATCATTCTCAACACCCATACTATCAGTTAAAACGTTTCAGCTAGTTATGCAACTCTTTGCTTCAAACTCGTCTTCTCCAAAATTATAAAATGTGTTAAGGTAAACTATACCAGAGACATTCCAAGATGATATTAAGAAAAAATAATGTTTTCCATATGTAAAATCTCAGAAAACAGGAGTGGTCTATATGGCAAGTCTAACAAAAATCTGCTAACAGATCCATGCAAGCAAATGCCTATGTTGCCCTTGAATACAATATCAAGATTTACTTGCTGGAAACAGTTACAAATAAGGAATTCTGAAACCAGTGGACAAACAACACAGAATTGTGAAAGTAGCAGTCTTCCTAAAACAGCAGAGCCATAAAAAGAGAGCCAAAGAAACTGCTAAGCACTTGGGAAATGATCCTAACCAAATAAACAGTAGGCTTGTAAGTAGCATATTAAATTACAGATTATTTCTCTAAAACTTGTTTTAGAAGTGATAATTTTGTAGAACAGAAGGTGATTTGTTACTACTCAAATATGTCAGAAAGCCTCCTCTTGGCTTTACTCATGGGTCTATAATCAGGTCAGATTTTTTTGAGGTTTTGCTTGTTCACCTGTCCACTTTAAATAATAACTAAAAAACCCAAAACAAACAAACAAACTCCCCCAAAAAACCAAATAAACCCCCACCACAATAAATCTGAAATACAACAAACAAAAAAACAAAAGCCCCCCAAACAAGCAAAAGAACAAACCAAAAAACTTTGCCCTGATTGCACTAAAAGGAAGGGAAAGGGAATTAATTCTAAGAGAATAATCTCGGGATCTTTATCAGCAGAGACATTCTCTAAATGCACAAACATAAACCCACAGATTCTTTAATAGGACAAATCAATATCAACAAAAAAATTCAGAGAAAAAAAATGAAAGAATGCTTGCAGTACTTCCTGATTGACACAGATTTCTTTGTTAATTTCCGTATTATTATTTAATCACATCTGCTGTAGAGTCCAAACCAGGATTTCACCACTTGGCAACTTGACTTTGCAAATAGAAAGATACATAAGCAGTATAAATAAACATATTCTGCAGCTTTTCTCAAAACAGTGTTTCTGGAAAAACAGTTCTATGTGTTAGCTGTGAATTCAAAAATCTGTTTGTTGTAAGAGAAACTCTGCATTAAACATACAGAAGAGAGAGCAAAAAAGGAGAAGAGCATTACAGGACCATAGATATCCCAAGACCTTCACCATTTCTTCATAACTGAGATCAACTTTAGGCATGACGTATATTACATACAAACTCTAGCAAAGTTATGTACTATTACGACATACATTGTACATGAAAAAACTATCACAAAAATCTAAGAGTTAAAATGAAAATTCATGACCTTTTACTCCCACTAAGAATAAATAATATGAAGCACAATAAACCTCAACTTTCAACCTTACCACCTGACTTTGTAAAATTTGCTACTTAACAGCCTTACTCAACAGGCAGTTTGCAACTTAAAAAAAAAAAGTGATGTACTCATTAGTTGGTTATTTCTAGAAACAGGTATCATTAAGCAGGCTAACATATTCACTATCATCCTGAAGAGGGCAGTCAGACAACATCAAAGGAATGCTTTAAAATCTTAAGCAATATCTGTAGAGCACTCTTCTGATAAGCCTGCTATATTAAAGCTGAACCATTTTTATTAGAAGAACAAGATAAAAATCACTTCATCTTGATGCCATCATTCTTCTTCATATACCTTTCACTTGTGATGAAATAGTATTTCTGGGAAATTCAGATACTCCACTTATGCCCCCATTATTTGAGAGGACTCTTGTTCCCGCTGATCTCAATGCATTTTGCATCTTCGAACTATTTTGAATTAATATAATAGATAGAAAGTATAATTTTTCAAAAGCTTGCTTTAGATTTTCTGTAACAGAGTCAAAGCAAAATTTCATCCTCAGACTGAAAATAACAATTCTGTAATACATCTCCATAGCAGCCCTTGAAGGGTGTGGAGAAGAAAGACTGAAACAAGGAGCAGCAGGAATACAAAGTTAAAGGACTACCCCATCCACAACTGAAGATCATCCTACACTACATAATCTCCAATTGATACAATGCTGATATAATCACATTAATAACTTTCTGTAGCACAGGTTCATTCCTTTTCAGACTCAGTAACACAAGCTTGACTGAAAAACACAAGCACTTGACTGAAAAAATTCAGTCTTCAATTAACAGCAGACAATATCGACTATGCCACATTTTATCTACCTAGGTCTATCATTAGTTCATACCCATTTTATCAGTTTATTTTTATGAATCAATGTTAATTATACAAAATTGCTATAATAATTATATGAAATAATATAAAGGCATAAAGCAAAGAACTACATTTGGGTTGAACTCATCAGAAAAATACAGTAGCACTGCTCTTGTTTGCTTGACAGGATTTTTTGATATATGGAGAACATTTGAATGCTATTGCTATTATAGTCATCTCTTAAGAACTTCATTATAACAGCAACACAGGAACTAGCAACAACAACAGTAATATTGACCAGCTACTAGAAAATAGTGGCTAGATCAAAGGGAATGCTACTATTAGATTTACTCAGAAAATTCAATATTCTGGAAAGTAAGCTGCTAAGCAAATGCTCTACAAAAATTCTTCCATTACGCAAGAGTTGCTCATGAAATATTAAAAGTTTTATTTAAAAAGATTAATTATGTGGGTGTCTATGGCAGTTAATCAGATTTGTATAGCTTGAGCTATATTTAATGAGATTAATTTTATTCTATTAGTCTGACATTTTAGTAAGAAAAACACAAATGGAATATTAGGAAAAGAATAAGAGTGTGGAATTATTTGACAAAGAAAGCAGTAAAGCATTATTTTCTGGCACACTATGGACTGTACAAAATACTTACATATGTACAGTTGGCACAGAATGCACTACCAGGTCACCTACCTGTTCTTATCCATCTGTTTAGAGTAAACTGCAAGCAATGCTACAATTTACTTCCACAACAACTTTTGGCTTTTATTTGGAGACGTGTTTCCAAAACTAAAACAAGGGGTTAAATGCATATTTTGATGTCTTCTCAGTGTCAAGAAGACAAATTCAGAACGCTTATTTGATTTTAATTTTGTTTAGAGTGACTCACACTGTCTTCAAGAAAAGCACTGAAAAATCTACAAATGTGTCCAGAAAATTCACCACATATGTGGTGACATAGTGTATGGACACTAGTTGAAAACTACACTTGTTTTGCAAACTAGATGTCTATAAAAGGGGAAGACAAGCTAAAATCCATGCTATTCTATTTACAGCATCCCATGAAATTTTCAGTATTCTACAGATGAAAAGAAGCTATGAGGTCCTATTTTGTAGAAGTTGTGAAGTAAAAAAATAAAGAATTGTAATCACAGGAAGAATAAGGAGTTTCTTGTGATCCAAGTAGAAGATTACTGCCTGGTTAAACAGGACTCATCAGTACTTCTATCAAGATCCTGAAGTACACAGGAAAAGCAATTGCTTAACTTTCAACAGCTCCTTCCACATTTCCTATTCCTTCATTGAACAAAAGTTCAAATCACAGTTTCCTCTCACTACATTTAAGAGACCTGTCAACGATTTTTCTCACTACCTCCTCTTAATCAAGTGGTCAAAAAAAACCCAACAAAACAGAAAGACAGAGGATCCTGTTTCTTCCTTCTGATGATGCCTCCTTGACTGTCACAATTCTTTTTGCTGTTGACCTACTCTTGGATCAGTTACTTGAAAACATATCTCTTTTCTAGGATATCTTTTTTAGCAGGGAAACCAACAGAATCCCTCTCTTTTCAGAATTAAAAAATCACCTCCTCTTGGAGATCTAATTGATAGGGTAGATGTTAATAAAAGCATGAGGAATCTCTTCTCTCATATTTTGCTATTTGCTTCTATGCACTGAGTTAGCAGAAGGCAGTTACATTCAGAGATCTTTATGAAACACATACTACAACATTAAGCTAAAAATTTAAAAATAGACAAACTGTATGTTGAATTATAACCATACTTTTAGATAAACCTGCAAGGAGGAATAACTTAAGCAGTTAACTTTGAGCCTATTCTGCAGCAGGATTTCTTCAGCAACTACAAGTTTGTTCTGAAAGATGCCACTAATAATTTCTGACAGAATTCAATCTTGTCACTCAAGCTAAACCAAAGCAGTCTTTAGAAAACATGTGCCACATCTGAAAAATTGAGCCATCTCCCCCATATTCTACATATTTTTAATATAATTTACATTTATATTTATACACACAGAAAACTTCAGCTAATGGGAGTAATCACCGCTCCTTTCAACATAACAAAACTTCTGACGCTTTTAAAAATGCAATAGTCTGGTCAACATGGATGAAAAAATCACTGGCTACCCAACTACTCTGCATTACCAGCCACTTTCATCTTTCTTCTTCATAAATACTCTTTGCACAGTCTTTGCAAAGCTGTGTTTTCCAAGAATCTCGAAGCAGGTTTGTTATTTCCACTGTAAAATACTGTTAAACATTGTCTAGAACTGAAACAAAACAGTTTTCAGCTAGTGCAGTTTACAAGTTTGTCTTCACAAGTGGCCACCTGCCATTACTATAGGCTTTCTCTGTTGCATTTTCCCATTTTTCTCATAATCATTTATGATGCTAATTCTAGGCTTCAATCTCGATTTGCTATAATTCAAACAGGCTCACCTCTTAAAAGGAAACATGTGGGAATTCACAGGCATAAACAAGCATAGTATAAAGTATGTAACCCAAAATCTGTTTGTTTCAAGTAGCTTTAAATTCACAGAGAGACGCACTTGTCTAATTTACATATTTTAACCATTATCTTATAACAAACTAGTAGCACAGGTCAACATATAAAGCCTATCCACCAAAACTCAGCATCTTTAGCCTCTGCTCTGATCTTTTCAAGGACCACTAAGAAAAAAAAATCAACACAAAATATGCACCTTTCTGTGATGGGTTTCAGCTGTTGAGGAAAAGCTCAAGTGACCAATTTCATTTTTCTGACCCAAATACCCCTTTCTAAATGAAAATACCCCAGAAATGAATTTGCAAAATGAACTAGACAAAAATGTGAACTGTTTGGAGACAAACAAGATGTCTCTGATATACACCTGTACTGAAAGCAGAGATGGTTGCATCTGCCAATCAGATGACAGAAGCAGAGTTTGGAAAGCAATATGAAAGACTTTGCTTATGGAGTTGTCAGATGGTATAGCAACAAACAAAAAAGAATGAGCTAATTATAAGAATGAAAGATGCAGAGGAGCAGTCAGCATCAGCAGGATAGAGCTAAAGCCCATGTGCAGCTGAAAAATCAAGTGCAGCCCAGGGTCACTGAAGTCTGGTTGGTAAAAAGGTGCTGATCACTTAAGAAAATGTGGTGAGAATAAAAAGGGGGAGCAGACTGCAATACGCAAAAAGATGAAAAGCACAGAGGCTGGAAGTGAATTTTCACCCAAAAATGCATTCAAGTCAATCTAGAAGTTACCATTTGCCTGTATGTAATAGAAAGTACAGGCTGAGAAACAGTCTCCTCATCTTTGTGAAGATACTATTGTCAGAATGAACGTTCTTTTTTCCTCCTTACATACATAAGTAATTTTTTCTTTAGGAGTGTGACTGATGTGGGTAACGGAGATAAACTATCTAGTTGAGTGAAGACCTAAACACCAAGGGAAAAAGGCAGCTGGTCTTATACCCTGAATCATCACTATTCAAAGTTAGATTATTTCAGACTGCTCATCCAAACTGATTCATCATCACAATGCAGCAAGGGGCCCTTTAGGATCTGCTTCCAATGTGCAGTTGCAGAGTATATGCACCAAGAACAGCAATAACAGGTAAAGTCAATTAAGATTAACCAAGTTTAATTTCCTGGAACTAAAACAGTTTAATCAAATGCATTTCCAAATGTGCATGGAAAAGATCCCCCATGTTAAGCCATTAGAAACACGTTTGACCTCCATTTGAGAGCACATTGGATATCTAATCTGTTACTGTTAATTCATCTGCCAACACCAGCTATGTCATATTGAACTTAAATAATTGTGTCAAAAGAAAAACTGACATTTATGCTACCACTAACACAATTGTAATACTCTTTTGGATCAGTACATTGAAACTTGTTTGTTGTTTAAACTTGTTAGATGAAAAATCTTCACTCTAAATTCTGCTTTAGGATAAATACTGAATTTCCTCAAAAAAAAAAAAATCTAGAGGCATGACTAGAGGCTCTACTAACATGTATACAGAGCTGCTGGTTTTCAGAAGCCCTCATATGTTAGGACTAGATTGATTCCGACAAGATTGACTGAAAGTTTATTTTTTGCATACCAAACCTTTATCCAAATATGTAGAGTCCCAAGGACTTCTCTGTAAGTGGTATTTTAAAAGTAAGTTGATATGATTTCCATATACTTTCACAAATCATGTGATTTATGTGATTGATGCTATAATGTCTTCCTTGCTGCACAAAGAAAATTACATTCTCTGAGACATATTTGGTCAGCTTTTCACATGTATGTCCTTGATATATGGATAGGTGAACTCAACCAAGTTCCATTCAAAATCTGGAACTTTTCCAGCATTAAAAAGGGTAGGAGGTTGCAGAAGGGGAGAATCCTTCCTTCATGCCTTCTACACAATGCCCAAGCTACAGCACTTCTCAGCAATGGACAGGCATGATAGTCCCTTGTCCAGTGGAGAACACAGATCACCAAACTGACTTGGCATTCACTTGGAAGGAATTCCAAAAGTGACACTAACCTTTCAAATGCAGGAAGCTACCTCTCCATCTGTGAGGCCACAATCGTTCAAAACACCAGCCAGAACAGTCATACTGATTTTACTATAAGCAGAGGCTCCTCTAAACTACAAACATTCTAAATATAACCAAACAGAAAATCAGATACACAAAGGATATAGGGTTTTTTTTAACAAGATAGGACACAAATGATCTCTTCTGGCTTCAAATGTGCTCATCTACAATGGCTTGCTCTAATAACCATTAGTTTTCACTGCTCTTCTCCAGAAGAGGACCACATTTCCTAATCTTGGTATTTTTATCTTGTTATTTACTGTTCTCCCTCTTTTTATTTTTTATGTATAATACTGTGTTTTTCATGCTTAGAATTTGACATAGCTCTATCCAACAGCCCCACATAAATATTTTTTTCACCTTTTGAAAATACTATGCACATGTTCTTTATTAACTGGACATTTAGAAGAGAAAAAACACAGAAATTTCAAATCTAAGCACCAAAAGGAAACAACAAAAACTTTTTTTTTTTTGTAGATAGGCCTCTGATGCATAAACTAACAAGGTTCAATTTTTAGGGGGGAAAAAAAAAGTTCTAATTCTTGTGACAAAGTTATTCAAAGATTTCAGTCTATGTGTTTTTTCATATCTGAAATATGACATTGATTTTTTTTTTTGTATACAATTGCTCTGAAAATATTTTGACAAGTAGCAGTTAACTTAAATCTTGCACAAAAGCATCTTCACAGAACATTACAGATTAAGTTAAAAAAATCTATTTTTCCTTTAGGCAAAGTGGCTAGTGAATAGCTAACAATCAAGTAATGCACGCATTTCAGTTCTCTATATACTTTCAGTGCTCCTGTCCATTAATTAGGAATTGATTTGAAAATGTCGATTTTCCTGATAATGGTCTTACATGCAGTATGATCAACCTCACTGAATTCCTTTTATTTCCCATGAACAAGTGGATTGCAACTTCACATTTATTTAAACAAGCCCAACTGAATGTAGTATGCTGATTTTTTTCTTCATTTTATGCTTAAAGATTTTCAGTTGCTTCTGTACATAGATGTCTAGTCTGGCCTATTGCAAGATAAAATTTACAAGCTCTTTTTCAGTACAGTAAACAATACACACTTGCAAGCAAACCTAATTTCCTTAAAAAAAAGCAGTATTTATGTTGTTTTCACATGCCCTATAAAAGACCTGTACATAGCACAGGGAAAGAATTTGCTATGGCCATTATAATGACAAATACAATGACCCTTATAAAGCTGAACTTGGTACATCTCCTGTAGCTTTATCCATTGGGTAAGGAAATAAGGAATGATTTAAAACAATATGGTAAACTTTCGACTCCTATTTCCTCTCCTAAAGTTGAACCCTGGCAACACGAAGAAACAACAGCAACCAAAGTGCTGAACTAAAAATTCATTTGACTTAAGAATATTGGAAAGTTTCTATACCTAATCCTTCACCTTCACAGTTCATATGCGGAGACTGAACTCATGGAAAAGCAATTTATACACTCTTCCTCAAAACTGATCAACAGACTTCAATGACGGAAAATTAATCTATAAAAAAAAATCCAATAAAACCCATATACAACTACAGATACACAAGTTGAAGTTTCTGTTGTAAATGTCCCATTCCAACACACCAGAAATCTAACAAGCTGTTATGTTTACCAACTCTGTATAAAGATTAAAATGCATCTGTTCAAAACCAAGAAATAATATTTCTTAATATACAGTTTGCATATTTCATAGTTCTACAGAGTATTTTACAGCCTATTTAAACACTGTTTAGAGCTCCCTGCACAATAATCCAATCTATTTCTAGACACAATAATTTCTAATGCATATTTTGGCTGAAGAAGGTTTTATTAGCACAGTTTCTGATTCAGTAAGGTAATTAAGTGCATGACTACCTTTCAGTCCCTTGGCCTTATTTGCCTGTCTATCATTAGTAATTTCTGGATTAATTTATTGAGCTAGGAACTTGCACAAAAAGGTCTTGAACTTCGAGGAATACCAGAGCCACTCTAATACATATTCTAAATGGAGACACCAGAACATACCAGAGTGCAGTGCCAGAAAGTATTCCACAATAAGCATGTCTTTGTGGAACAATGTGTTTGCATGTAAGAACTGTCCAAAGCTATGAAATCATACAGTAAGTCACATCTGCATCAGAGCCTTCGACACCTCTTACTGAAGAAATCAGTGAAGTGCCATTATTATACGGTAATGAACCACTTCTGTCACACAATGTCTTAGGAAAGATCATGGTCAACTATAATAACATAAAGTTGATTTCTTAAAGAGAAAGTCTTCCTTAGTTGTGTACATTTTATTCAACTGTAATTCAAAAAAGAAATAAAAACTTGGCAGAATCCTAAAATTTGACATCTAGATTAAATTACAGTTGAAAAGATGCTGCAACAAGCACATGAGCCTGTGGAACAGTGTGCATCTCTCCCATGCAAAGAACAACCCTACTCAGTGTATTGCACATTGATTCAAGTGTTCACTTGAAGGCTGGTGAGGTAGATGAGAAAGTTCAGTAAGGTATAAATTACCTGCAAACAGAGCACTGTCGCTGTGGCTGAAGAGCAGTGAACATCACTATCACAGAGTAGTTACGAGGTGGAGCCTTCACAAACCTTCGGAATTTGTCTCCATTCATGCGGATGACTGAACGCCTTGAGCTCCACTCCATCAGCTGTTCCACTTTCTCAGCCAAAAGATTCTGTAATTGAGGACAAGGATGAGGAATGTTTAAGCTTAAAGTTTAAGTGCTTTGTACCTATATTCTGCCTTTTCACCCTCAGAGCTTATATGGACTTAAGCCAGAGGTTATATAGTTATATGGTTATAGGTATAGGTTATATGTATATAGCAAAAATTAGCTTATAGCACAATTTAGTCTTTCATGTAGACAGAGAAATTTTAAGTATTTAAAAAAATAACTCAATGTGGTCTTAAACAAAAAGGACCCATAGAATGAAATCAAACAGGTTGCTACCAAAGGCAAAGAAGTAGAGTAAGGTTGACTGCCTTAATACAAGTTGGCAGTACAGCAATCATTTAACTTCCACTTAAAAAAAATTGAAGCTTCAGAAAACGCAGCATTATATTTATTCTATTTAGTAAAAATGAGAGCAAGATATTGTCAGTCACTCAAATATAAAGATGAAAGAAAATTGTACCTACAGAGAGAGAAATAGTTACTATATTCAGAATTTCCTACAAACATGTATCATATTGAATTTAAATTAATACAGGTTTTATATTTTGCTACAGACAGGACTGCACTGTCATATATACCCATCTAGGTAAATTCTGTTATGAGACCAACATTTTGAGCTGCTTTCAAGATTAAGGACCCAAAAATATTTTGACTGAACTACCATTGTATAAGAAAAAAAATCCCTGCCTGTGTGTTGCTTTGGCTTGAAAGCATTCCATGACATGAATGATTTAAAGGAAGCTATGAGACATATTAGAAGACAGTCTTATTTGTCAAAGTATTCTTATAAAAATCTATTTAGAATTTTTTTTTAATAAAGTAAGCCTGATGTCACACATGCTCAGCAGAAATTGTTTCGTTTCCTAAATTACCCAGGTTCAGTGAAGTCTCAATGACAGTACTCTAGGTGGATTGCTACTTACATTGTATCAGGATCAATGTATCAATCTATCTTGTTTTATATCCTCTGTTCCCTATTCACAGACCCTGTGGAAGCTGCCTATATCAAATAAGAATTCAAAAAAGCGTGGAGAAAACTGGAATATTACAAGTCAGAAGTTGAGCACTGAAAGAAGGTGGGAAGGACAGAGAGGGGGCAGACAGACAGAAAGTGAAGAAAGGGCTCCAAACAACAGGGAAACTAAGTTCAGAAAATTTGAAGATCTCAGACCTCTGTTAAAATACACAAATTAGTGAAAGGGTTTATGAACTGATGAGGCTCCACTGTGGAGGGGAAGAATAAACTAGCTTAAAAAACATATTGAAATGGGGACAGTGAGAAAAGAGAATACAATGAGAGGCAAGGCAAGGATAAAACTCAAATACTGTGTAAGAAAAACTGAGAAAGGAGACAAGGTGGTTTTTCTAGGACTTTCTTTAAAAAAAGGAATGAAATAGAAAAATTAGGTCATCTAGTAACATTTTGACAAATCAGTAATGCTATAAATAAGAGTAGAGATAGATAGATATATGAGGGGAAGGAAGGAGTGAACTGCAAGGATCAAGAAAAATTACATTTTGCCTGTAAGACCTTCCATCTTAAAAATTATCAGGCACAGGTCATCAGAAGGCTTGAGTCCAAAAGTTTTGATCAGTGTAAATCATGAACAGTTCTGAGAGCTGCATTTACTTGATGTTATAAAGCCTTTAAAAAATATCCTTTAAGGTTTCATTTCTTTTCTCACAATTTAGCTGATATTTGTTATCACAAATGTGAAAGCGATTACAACTCTGTTTATATAAATTAATCAATTAATACCATAATTTTTCTTCTGCTAAAAGACATATGTAAGGTTTCCCTGAATTAGCAGTGTCTGAATTAAATCTTTGGTCATTTCAAAAGATTCACTAGTTTTGCATCAGGCACTGCAGCTGGTAATGTGCAATAAAACATAAGGAGCTAAAAGGATGTGAACTAGTATATCCAAAAGCTTTAATAACCGCAGCAAAAAGATAAACCAAAGAGAATTAATAAAAAGACACGACTTCTATATTAGCACAGGAATGATGTACAATAACCTACTTGGTACAGAAAACCAAAGACTTTTCAGAACAGGCCTTATTCAGAGAAAAGAAACCCATGAAATAGCATTAAGGGTACGAAAGCAAAAGCATGATCTTGACAGAAAAAAAAAAACAAAACAGGAGAGGAAAAAATCCAGCTCTATTAGTGCTACACAATTTGTTTCTATAAAAGAAACAGTTATATTGGAAGACTCTTAGAGAATTCCCAAACCAAGTTTTACTTGGAAGCTTGTTGCCAATAAAAAAATTGCCTTGATTCTTTCAGATCCAACAATGTGCAATGTCACCTTTACAGAGCTCTTATACAATATTCTCAAGTTCACCATAATGTTCTCAACCACTTGTATCTTTTGTTGATTTTTTTTTTCTAAATGCACTAGGTAAAAAGCTAGTAACTAAACCAACCTGTTTACTATACTAGGTAATCAAGCTAGTGGCTTCAGGAATGTAGTCATTAGGTACAATTTACATACTTCCTTCATTGCATTCTGAAGCAATCTACTCTTTTCAAGTAGAAAGTTACTGAATAGATTGCAGATAATTGCTTACATCATAAAACATTCTGCTATAGGCTACCCTTTTCTTAGGTAACTGACCGCACTTCGATATCCTACCGATTTTTTCCTACGCTTTATTCCAGAAAGACTTCTTTTGCAGAATACTTGATACAAGAGAACTTGGAACTGATAGCTCTAGAATTCACAGTGAAGTCTTTCTGATTTTTAACTCTTTAGAGAGAGATGAAGGCCTGATATTGTTTTTGTCATTTACAAAATATTTTCACAATATATGCTACTAAGTTAGCAACTTTTTCCTCATTTCATTTAATAATGAAATCTAAGAAATAAATCTACTCTTAAATAAGTTTCTATTTTAGCCATGCATTTGATTTTCAAGCTCAATATCTGTCTTAAGGAAATATGGTACATTTCAAAATTCCAACTGTGTACTTTAGCTTTGGATCAAAAAGGTACCTACTTTTATGACACTACACTCAGAAAATTGGTCAGTCTGTTAAAAGGGGGGGGAGCATGTTTTAAACATGCTGAAGCAGCAGAACAACCTTAAGGATTTCATAATTCAAATTGTAACTGATATTTTTGTAAGAAAAGATTTCTCAGATAAAAGTGTATAAAAAAGAAAAAAACACCGTTGAACCAAAGTATGAGCTCTACCTCAGTCAAAAAATTTCTCCTGTGTAAAAGAGAGTGGTGAAAATAAAAAAAAAATTGTCAGAAAACATTTAAAGCCAAAAGGGATAATTTTCTATATTACCCTAATAAAAATAATCTATTAATATCCAGCAAAGCATTGTTAGAAAAGACAATGGTCTATTCCAAATTGTTCTTGCCATGAAGATACTGAAACTGAATATGTTCTCCAGTAGTTTTCTTCTATCATTTACCATCCAGGTATACAAACCATACCTAAAACTGTCACCAAAGTGAATTCCCATTAGGATTTTAGACATTTACACAAATTTTATTAACTCAACCTCTTTCCATCACCTGGGGAAAAGTTTTCTGCCAGAGAAAATCTGGAAATAGGAAAGAATGGCTAAATCTGACAAAACACATCTTGCGATGAACAATATCCAGAAAACGAGGAACTATTCCATTTTTCCTCTAGTGGCTAATTTTCTGCTCCTTCACACAGTCTATACAAGTAAAGACCCTCCATTTGTTTAAACCTATTGGTTTGCAGAATTCCTCTGAGTACTTATAACAATAACTCAATGGAACTGTTTTAGTTGAAAGGCTAGGAAAAAAAACCCAAACAGACAACAAATCCTAGAAGCCTAAATAGGAAAAGGGAAATCCTTCCTGTATGAAGAAAACTCTAGGTTTGATGTCACAAATAACTACAACAGAGTCAAGAGATAACAGTCTACTGATAAAAACATAGAGAACTTTTAAATCAATGGGTGAAGAGGCAGACATATATCATTTATGTATTTTCAGTGGTTGATACCTCAAGCAGAATAAAAGAACATTCATGATCTATGTGTGGAAACAACATGAATGCTAATTTTTGTAAAGCAAACACAACTATAATACTCCTTGCTGTTACTACACTATCTTGTAACAAGTGAAAATCCAGGAATTTTCTTACTGAACAAGAAAAGCTGTTCATTTTTTAGAAAACGGGATTTTCCCATAAAGCAATCACCTACGAAAATTATCTTTGCTGCTGTCAAAAACATAGGCAAACTGTGACAAGTTATGAAACAGAAGATGCTGGCAGGCCAAGCTTCTGGCATCCACACCTGAAGCAATTCCCCATTAGGGACTGCTTCCCAGTGATCCCCTGTATCTCCTCTCTGCTTCTTAACCTAACACAGCTTGTCATCTACAAGCCTTCCCTTTCATACTCTGTGACCAGCAGATTAGCTACTCAAAACACAGCTTTATCTATTCATTCTCCCAAGACAAGACACAGTGCCTACAAGACAATGCATAAACAACAATAAGAACCACCCTGTATCCACACATTTTTGTCTCATTAACTGTTAATCTTCCTTGGCCAGATTTTCTAAATTTCTTTTGGCCTAAATAAAACTGTCTTGTTGGGGGCAGGGGGCACCAAATAACACAAAACAAAACACCATTCAAATTTTCATAAATGCTGCTTGCTCTGTCTATCCAATGGATGTCCCTGACATTTTCAAGACAAAACTCCTATTTAAAAAAAAAAAATAAATTAAATACTGTTCATTCAGATTTATTGATCTGTAAAACACAAAGTCATAGAAAAATAGTTGGAGTATGGCAAAGAGAAGATAATCCTTGGTTCTCAAGAAAGTTTTATCAGATTTCTATATCATATAAACATATTGTTGATGGGTTTACATTACCGAAAATGTATTTTCAATTAGTTTTCTTCTTCAGATCCCCTTTCATTTACTTTGCTTTCAGTCAGAACAACTTCACACAGGTAGCTTTTAAGGCATAAGGGGCCATTAAAAAAAAGAAAAG